AGGCCCTCTATGAGATGGATTGATTCCGTGACTGGGATAATTGGGATGGGAGTGTTGGAGACAGTGCGATTGGCACAAGACAGAGCAGAGTTTAGGGCTGTTGTACATAGGGTCGCTGTGAGTCGCAAGCGACTCGATGGCACTTAACAATAACATTGCTACAGTCCTGAGATGGTATCTCATTGTGGTTATGATTTGCATTTCTCTGTCTGTTGACCATCTGAATGTTTTCCTTTGTAAAAAGTTTTTCTATGTCTCTTGGCCATTTTGTTATTGGGTTATTAGTATTTTTCTTTGAAATAAATTTAATTATTAAAAAATTATTATTCTAAAATAACTATTGGTAAAAGATCAATTTTCAAAACAGAAACTCTAGAAATTCCATATACAAACTCGATGTGAAAGAAGAATGCAATGCAGCTACAGAGAACAGTAGAACCTGTGTAGTTTTGGTATGGCAAATTTCTAAGCATAGTAATTATAAAAAGGTTAAAGCTAAAGATTTTATGTTAAAAGTTTTATGTCAAAAACAATGAATGAAAATTTAAAGAAAAATGGAGATATATTAACAATACTTATGCTACAGTTAATATTTTTCTACATACAAGCAGCATTTTAAAGCATTTTTAAAATGTAAACTTCCCAATGGAAAAATAAGTGAAGAATATAATAAACTAGAAATCTAAGGAGGTAAACTTATAAATGGCCCATAATCACAGATAGAAATGATTTAAAATGTCACTAGCAAAATAAATGTAGAATAAGTCATGAGATATTTCTAAAATTGGCAACACTTTTACAAGTTAGTGCATCCAATCTGGGTAGTAGGGAGCAAAATAGAATGCTTATATCCTGCTAGGGGGAGGGCACTTGGCCTTAAAATGGTTTCTAGAACTGGAAATATGTATTTTCTGAACTTTATTTCGTTAGCAATTTATCCCAAAGGACAACTTTATCCTAAAGAATTTAGCAGTTATTTCAAGATATCTGTGCTGTAAATCACAAGAATATTTACAGAATCCAAATTTTAAACAACAACAAGGTAACTTCAGAAAGCCTATTTTTAAGAAACAGTTAATCTTCTAGGGAACATGTACAATATATTTTAAAATTTGCTCTTTAGAACTTGAATGAAAATTAAATTCATTTTAATATTCCTTACCTTGTTGTTGTTGTTGTTGTTATGTGCCGTCGAGTCGTTTCCGACTCATAGCGACCCTATGCACAACAGCCCTAAACCCAGCTCTATCCTGCGCCAACCGCACCGCCTCTGACACACCCATCCCGATTACCCCAGTCACGGAATCAGCCCATCTCATAGAGGGTCTTCCCCTC